TAGCCTTTAGAGATTGTACTATACCCCAGGAAGATACCTCGTATAGTTTTCTCTTCAAGCTTGTGCCTCTTCACGTCTTGAATATGAATGTAGCATATAGATCCAAAGACCCTTAGGTGCTTTGCTGATGGCTTGTTATCGTTCCAAGCTTCAATTGGAGTCTTATCTTGTACTGACTTAGTTGGACATCTGTTAAGTATGTAAACAACAGTGTAGACTGCTTCAGCCCAGAATATGTTAGGAAGTCCCTTCTCCTTGAGCATCGATCTAGCCATCTCCATAACTGTGTGATTCTTTCTCTCAGATACACCATTTTGTTGAGGAGAATATGCGACTCTAGGTTGTCTCTTTATGCCTTCATCCTCACAAAATCTGTCAAACTCGCAGGAGGTGTATTCTTTGCCGCGATCACTTCTTAGTACTTTTATACGTTTTCCACTTTAATTTTCAACATGGGCCTTGAACTTTTTGAATACTCCAAAGACTTCTGATTTTTCTTTTAGAAAATAGACCCATGTCATTCTAGAGAAGTCATCAATGAAGAGTATGTAGTACCTGTTGTTCTCGTGTGATGGCATCCTCTTTGGTCCACAGGCATCAGTGTGAATTAGCTCCAATAGATCTTTTTCTCTCCATGCTCCGCTTGTTGAGAACAAAAATGGTGTTCCTTACCAAGGAGACATCCTTCACACACTTCATTGTTCTCCTTTATGCTTGGAAAATCTCTCATCATGTTCTTCTCATGTAACAACTTTAAGGCATGTGTGTTGAAGTGGCCAAATCTTTGATGCCAGAGCCATGAATCATCAACTTGTACCTTCATGGCAATGTTAGTTGTATGTTTTAAATTTAGCGGGAAGCTTCTATTTCTCTTATTCATCTTCACTTGGATTATCTCGGCCCTTTTATTTTTATTGTCTAAGATTTTGCATACTCCTCCTTCAAAGTGAAGTGTGTAGCCTCTCTCCATCATTTGACCAATGCTTAGAAGATTTTCTTTAAGGTTGGGGACTAGTAAGACATCATGGATGAGTTGCGTACCTTTATTTGTCTTCACCATGACAATGCCTATTCCTTTTGATTCAACCAGACTTCCATTTCCAAGTCGAACTATGACTTTGACAGACTCGTCAATGCTTTTGAAAATAGTCTCATCCTTGGCCATGTGATTGCTACATCCATTATCCAAGTACCAACTTCCTCCTTTTTCTTTGAATGGGTCTTGAGTGGCATAGAACATACATTGTTCTTGATCATTCTCCTCTGCGATATTAGCTCGATGCTTATTTTTGTTGCGACAATTTTTCTCTACGTGCCCAAACTTCTTGCAATAGTTACATTGTGGCATATTACGGAACCAACAATTTCTCTCTCCGTGGCCCAGTCTTTTGCATATAATGCATGGAGGATTTTTATCTGTTTTGTTCTTAAGGAAATTCCTAGAACCTTCTCTTCTTCTTGAAGTTTCTCCATAATTTTTCTTTCCTCCATTTTCTTTGTTTTGGGGATGAAATTTGAGCCTTGACTAGAAGACATTTTCAAGTGTATATTCTTTATGCCTATACAGTCTTTGCTCATATGCTTCAAGAGAGCCCACAAGTTTTGTCACTGATAGAATGAATATATCTTTGGTTTTTTCAATCGTTGTCACAATTGGGTCAAACTTTGAGGGTATAGTAATTAGAATTTTCTCAACAATTTTCTTGTCAAGAATGTCTTCCCTAAAAGCTCTCATTTGATTAACTATTTATTTAACTTTAGAATAGTAATCTTTAACTGTCTCAGACTCCTTCATCTTCAATAGTTCAAAATCTCTTCTTAGAGATTGAAGTTTGACATCACATACCTTAACGCTTCCTTGAAACTCCTCCTGAAATGTGTTCCATGCTTCTTTGGCAGTCTTAGCTCCCATAATTCTTGGGAAAATTGCATCAATTACCGCTTGTTGCAAGGTGAACAATGCCTTTGAATTTTTCTGTTTATTTTTCTTCAACTCTTTTTCTTGAGCTGCATTAAGAGCTGAAGTATCTGCGGAAACAATGAATCCTTCTTCTACTATGTCCCATAAATCTTGAGAAGAAAAAAATGTTTCTATTTTAACACGTCAGAAATCAAAGTTTTCACCATTGAAAATAGGGACATAAATAGTTGATGATTGAGTGGTGTTATCCATGTCTTTGACAAATATTGAAGTGGTTTAATAGTACAAAGGAAATTTTTTAAGTAGTTGGGAAGAATTTGAAATGATATGTATTAATTTATCTATGTCCAATGTATGACCGAACGTAGCTCTGATGTCACTGTTAGTAATGGTGTAGTTGATAGTTGATAGAAGATAGTTTTAGAGAGTTGTTTAGAAAGAAGGCTATGACATTGATTTTTTGGATGATGCATTACAAGATATCAAATGCCTATTTATAGGATAAGTCACAAACCTCTCAATGGTGGTGAATGTTTCTACATTACTTTAGATTTTTCTAGAGTTTTCATGATATGTTAGTATCATGATAGTTCTAGGTTCTTTTATCTTTTACATACACTTATAGTTCTAGATTATTCTACCATACTCATATACACTATAGTTTCTAGGATATTCTACCATTACCATATATATTATATTTAGAATATTCTAGAAATTTGTAGCAATTTCAACATATATATACAGCAAAGTATGAAACCGCGAGAAGATTCTGGCCTATCATACACGATTCAATGAAATTTTCTCTAGTTCTTATGCAACTCATTGCAGTGGGAAGTTTTGCTTTAAAAAAAACTTTCTCCAGCTTCGACTTGGACGCGTCCTCTACCAAGACTCACTCTTATCTTTCATTATTACTTCCGAAGATGACTCTTGCCTATATTTACTGCATACTCAGCAGAGGTAAAGTCTCTTGTAACTAGGATTGTCTTAAAGTTGTTAAAAATATGCTTCTGGTATTAAATACCTTGGTGCTGATTTGACTTGTTTGTATCTGTAGAGTTTAATAAAGAAAGGATAGGGAAGACAAAAATGATACCGCAATGACTAAATTTTACAATGAATTGTTATTTATATGTAAAGATCCTGCTTTGTTTCCAATTCAACACTCATCAAGTACCGGTAGTTTTGTAGTTCACTTTTATCTTAAGCTCAATACCAAGTGATCACAATATTCTATCCATGAAATATTCTTCTATTTGTATATATATTTTGAATGTGATAAGTGAGAGTATATTGGTCATAGAGATTAGAGGGCTTAATTACCATGTTTAGTTAAAATATGTAACAACTAAGTCATTATTAGGATTTATAAATAGTATTTTAAATTATTCTCATTAATTTCTTGTATTGGAAAAATAGTATTTTAAATTATTCTCTGCTGTCCTTGTAGGTTTTGAATGTGGAAGACCTTTGTTGGGTTTGCCAGTATTATAATGGCATATGCTCATGGAAATGGCTTGTGATATACTTATTTATTTTTAGTTTTGGGACATAGGATATTTTTAATTATCAATTGCTTCTTTTTTTCATGATTGATTTGGTAGATTGGTAAGTTTTACATGCATGTTATGATATGATGTTAGTAAGATATATCAGCCTATAAGTTTTTTGTGGGCAACTCCACTTTTAAACTTAGAAAACAATAAAGCTATCCCACAGTTGCTCTCAGAACGTCAAGTCCAACCACTCATACTTTTTTTGTTGTTCTACGAAGCTGTTAGACTGAATGTTTAATTGTCTTAATGATTATTTCTTTGCTTAAAGATATTAATATTGGATAGGCATGTATTAGGGCAATTTGAATATTAGAATGTGATAGAATAATGCCTCTTATTGGATAGGTTTATGGAAAGAGGAAGCATAAAAAGAGTTGGGATAAGGAGGGGTTACTGAAACTATTGTAATTTCAACTGTCAATAGCTAGTTAGTTGGTTTGGTAGATATTTTGAGGCCAACACCATTAAAAAGAGGAACTAAACAAAAAAAGGAGTTAGATGTGATTTCTGGAGTTAGTTGATATTCTATCATAATGCTTCACTAGAGGGATGTCAAGATGATTAAAATAATGGATTCATTATTTTTTCATAATTGTTTTAAATTATCAAGTGGGACTTGATAAATGACATGTTGCGCATTTCAGGTCCAGTATCTTTCTATTGTGTGGGAACTTCAGTGCTAGGATTGTATCAAAGATGGTAGTACAATTTTTTTCATCAATACATAGTCTCATATTATCAATCTTTCAAATGATCTCTGAAATCACAAACAATTAATCAAGTCCATTCATCCGTCTTGATATGTTTTTTATTTTGAATGATGTGGCAGGTATCACGTTCCAAGGTCTTGGCTAAAGCTAACAAAGAACTTGATAGTAGAGTTTGAAGAATTAGACCGAAATCCTTGGGAAATATTTTTGTAAAAAAGAATAGTACATACTGTTGCAGTTTGTTAATAGTGAACCCAATTGTGTGTTACTATCCGCAATAGTTCTTTAATATTTAACTTGTTATCAATTTTGATGTATTCTTTAATTAAGTTATGAATTTTGAATGTTGATGTATGCTAAGTTATGTTTGATCTAAAGAAATGCATCCATATATATATATATATATATATATATATATATATATATATATATATATATATATATATATATATATATATATATATATATATATATATATATGATGCGTTAATACGTAGAATTTGAATATAAAAATTGTATCCGTAAATCTATTTTTAGTCCAGGTAAAATGAGCGTATATGTCTATATTTGGGCAATGAACAGTTCATATCTAAAGGAGACCCTTATTTGTACTCTTGTGGAAGCTGGCAATTAACAATATGACAGGGAAAGACAAATTTATTAAATAGTATCCAAGTTTCATATATATAGTTCAAGTTTATTTTCTTCATTGCAAGAAAACTCCAATCCTTTTCAATCAGGCACTAAAAGTGCTTTAATAAGGCCTGAATATATATAATATTCCAAGGGTTAGTCTCAGCTTTTCAATCAACCATGGAGCGATGGGAGGTAAGTCTAAATCTATACAAAAATAAACATTTCTATTATGGTGTAAATCTCATTGCTGCTGGATGGTATATATAATCCATAAAGTTTTATGCTATCTCTAATCTTCATTAAATATATCTAACAAAAATTTTCTTGATGCAGCAGGTTCATCATTTATAGTATAGAGAGAATATATAGATTTAATAATCCAATGGATAGAAGATGGGAAAATTTTTTAGTAGTAATCTTGGGCTTGTATTGGTTGATGTGCGTTAATCATCATGGGGGTGTCAACCAATAAAAGCCCAAAATTATCTAATCAACATTCTTATTTTCTATTAATTATGTATTGGAGTTTGAAACCTTTTACTTGTAATGGTTAATGTGCATTGATCAAAGGGGGTATTAACCAATACAAATGAAATGGTTTACACTCAAAATAAAGTATATATAGTATATGAATTTCAGTGTGGAAAATGATTAGAAATTACAAATAAAGTTACTAAGTGAAAATGTGTTATGCATGTGCAGAAGAAGCCTGTTAAGATGTCTGTGCCACAATTTGGAGGGTGGGAAAATAAGCCTAAAGGAGTGCCTACTGACTACTCCATGGTGTTCAACCAAGCTCGAGAAAACAAGAAGAATCATAAAATAGATTTAACTGAAGTCAGGCGTCTCAGCGGTGGGAATGATAGGAATGCGGTCAACAATGCTACAAATTATCGTCATCGTCATGGTCATGGTGGTGGTCGCGGTCATGGTCATGATTTTGGTCCTGAACAAACTCACCATCACCATCATCATCATCATGCTACTCCAGATCCTCCTGTCATGGTGAGACATTTGACTTTATATATAATTATCATTTCACTTGCATATTAATTTGTTAATTTGTTATTGCGTAGTTTTGGTTTTCAACAATAATATAATATAATGTAATTCTTTGAGCAACTAGTGCACCTAACATTGTTCCATGCCCCCTTGATTAACGCACATGGATCAATGTTAAGTGTAATGTTGGTAAAGGAAACTATATAAAATAACATAAACGCTTGCTATTATAATTTTAGGGACTTCACCAGTTCTTATTGATGGGAATCTCACCAAAAAGGGATTTGAAACAAGCAGATTTTATGGTCCCTTTATATTCCGTTTAGTAATAGAGGAATTGAATATGTCATAGTCCATTAACATGGTTTCTCACTAGGTAATTAGGGTTTGATGATTTCTCACTACTCACTACTCACTTACCATGTAACCAAACATGGATCTTTAAGGGAGAAATTGTGTTCGTTTTTGCTGTCTACCTGTGTGGTATTTTCCCTTCGGCCAACCATATGTGTTATGCTTGGTGAAGAAATGTATCTCGGTTGAGATCCAACTTAAATTCAAATTTAAATTAGTTCTTTGATTTAGAGTACCCTTAAACACTTTGTTTTCTTTTTCAATTGCCATTAAAAAATTTGTTGCAAACATTTTCTAACTCATGTTGTATATGATTTTGCAGGAAAGAAGGAATATTTGGAGTTACATGAGCTGTTGTATTATGAGGCCTCGCTATGATAATAATTTTTAAATCACACTCTTGAACTCTACTATTAAATGTAATAGGAGTATATGGTTTTGTAATAATATCTGCAAAAATAAATGAGAAAATTTCATTACAAATTCCTTCACATGACTAACAACTTCTATTACAATGAAGCGCCATTTAATCTCATTTGTTGCAATAATGTCTAATAATAAACAAATGTAACAAATCTATTATATTTTTTATTATAATATATTAAATCAAAGTTGTGGATTTTTGCCTGACATTTTATCATCTATATTATCTAAATTTTGTCACTTCAAATATATTTATATAATATATTTGATACTTCTAAAAACACATCATCACTTTTCAAAAAGGCGTATTTTTATTATAGGTCATTACTTCAACACATGATAAATATAAAAATTTATTGACTTAACATTTAATTACAAATAACTTTAATATATATTAACTTTATAAAGTTTATAGAATATTTTCTTATTTTTCTTACAAACTTTTCATCTATTTCATCATTATTAATATATTTTTGAAAGATAAAATTGATTCTACTAGTTTACTTGATATAATCAAATTATTTAAGTCAATATAATACATCTTTTGTTGGAAAAAATATAATACATGTTTAAATAAGTAATTAACTACTTACTAAAACTTAAATATTAGATGAATATATAAAGTAAGGATAAAAAGGTTTCAAACTTAAAAATTTACACTTAATAATAAAAATATGTATTGATTATTAAACTATATAAAAAAATTACATACAAAATTAATGAAATAATTACTCTAAAATTAAGATTTATTATTTTCACAAAATCTACAAATTCACTAAAGATTAAAAAATAAAAAATTGCATGTTTCAATAAGGTTATGCATACCATCTTAGCAAAATTTAATAAAATGACATAACAATTTGAGTATTTTATATTCACCGATAACTATTAGATATGTTTATTTGCCGTGAGGAATAACATACAAAATTAAAAATATACTTTTAAAGAAATGGAGAGTTTCATCTTAGATCTCAATATTGACTATGATGATCGAGTATCTCAAATATTTACTATGATGATTACATATTTTAATATTAACTACTTGCGTCTTATTTATCATTTTAATAATTCAAACCAATTTATTTTGTTTAAAACTATTTTCTTTTTTTTATCCTCTTCATTTTATTGTCTCAATTACAATATTTTTTATAATAAACAAAATTAAAATTTACATAATACAATACTATTTAAAATTTTATCAATACCTCGCGCGATAAGTGAATGTCTCAATCTAATAATATATTAAATTAGAGTCGTAAATTTTTGCATTGACACCTCATCATCCATATCATTTAAATTTTGTCACGTAAAATATATTCATTTGTGGCAACTCTATAAACTCATCCTCACTTTAAAAAAAAAAAATCTCTATTATAAGTCATTGGTTAACCACAGGGTAAATACAAAAATCTATTAACTTAACATTTAATTACAAATATCTTTAATATATTAATTTTATAAATCTTATAAAATACTTTCTAATATTTTTCTTATTAACTTTTCATCTATTTTATCATTATTAATAGATTTTTAAATGATAAAATCGACTCTACCACTTTACTCACTATAATCAAATCGTTTAAGTCAATGTAATACATGTTTTATTAGAAAAAATATAATACAAGTTTAAATAAGTAATTAACTACTTACAAAAGCTTAAATGTTAGATGAACATATAAAGTAAGATAAAAAAAAAAAAAAAAAAAGGTATGAAGTTTAAAAAATATACACTTAATAACAAAAATATGTATCTACTATTAGAGATTTAGGGTGTGATAATCCTGGATAACTTCGAAGAATCGTGTTCGTACACTTTCCGAACAAAGTATTTTGACCCTATTCTTGCCTGGGTTCACGAAATCTTTGTGGGGATAATTCTCGAAGAAATTCTGTTTCCGACAAAAGAAAACGAATTGTAATTATAGAGAGAAGGATGCGTTTTTTTTCTGTGTGCGAGACCGAGGCCGAACGACTCCTTATATAGGAGAACAGTAATTGAAAACGAAGAGACATATTTGTTCGAAACGAATATGTCAGTTGGAAAACAGTTATGTCCGTTGGGGAAAGGGTGATGAGCATCACTCTGATGGACAAAAGTTGTTTCATTAAGATTAGCCTCATTTGCATATGCACTCAGAAATATTATTCCATTTCATTTCTACATTGATGCAGCAAGCATGAGAGATTCATGTAATTTTCATTTTTTATCATCTTTAATTTTCATCAATTACTTCTTCTATTTTTTATTTGTAATCAAATTTATACCATTTGATAATTATACATTTAAAATCAATTTCTATAAAACTATCCAAACAACATTAATAGATAATGATTACTTCTAATTTATTTTATACAAACATAAATCAAGTCTATTAAATTTAATTATCTTAAAATCAATTTTACTAAATTCAAATTTCGCATAATTATTTTGACCAGGGTCAATCCAAACACACTTGGTGACACTCAAAATTTATTATCAAAAGTCAAATATCTATAGATATAAAAGTCTGCAAAAATTTTAGTGGCACTCTCATTTAATGTCAACTATAAATGGAAGCTAAATATTTTTAGAAAAGAAAAATAATTATATTATTTAAAACACAAGTACAAGAAATGTTAGACAATATAACCAAACTAGCTACCGTGAAACATTTTCCTACAGTTACATTGAATGTCACAGTATATTATGCTAATATTACAAATAATAGAAACTTTACCTATGGATTCTTTTGTTTTATCTGTAACTAAAACTTCAATTAATATAATTTTATTATACAAAATATAATAAATTTATAATTTCAATTAATATAATTTTATCATATAAAAATATAATAAATTTATAAATTTAATTTTTAATATAATTGAGAAACATTTCCATTAAAATAAAACGACTTATTTAAGATATTTTACAATACACTTTGAACCAAGACAAAGCTAAATAACTTAAATTAAACTATTATATCATTGTCTATTAAATAAATTCAAATAGTTCAACATAGAAAACATGATGTGATATTATTTTAATATAAACTAATTACAAAAGAAATCATATCCTTAAAATCTTACTATATATTTGAATTTGCATGTTTTCTAACCAAAACTCTCTTACCAAAAATCAGTTAGATACATCTGAGACAAAAATTATAAGAAGTACTTCCTGTTAAAGAAACACTAACATTATTTTTTTCCATGTTTTTAAGTACAACCTTAGGATCATATACCAAATACATCATAAACATACCTCCTATAATTTAAAATATATATGAACTACTCAATTTAATTCTAAATTGTATAGCTAATGTAGGTCTTTTGTTGGACATGAACTACTTGTAAAAGAAAAACTATTCACGTACAAATGATTTATTGGCCTCCATAGTGCACCTTATTTCTCCATTTGTCCTTCAAATCAACCTGATAAACTAAATTTGATTGACATTAAAATAAAAAAAAAGAAAAGACTAATATATTTTAATTATACTTACTTCAATTTTCTATTCAAATGTATAAACATTAAAGATTAGTTTTCAGTTTACTCTATCAAATAAGAAGAAAAAGTTAGGCAAAAATCATTAGGATCATAATATGGTGAGAGATCTGATTGTTCAGAGACGAGGAATTGACCAAATATGTATAAATAAATTAGACAATGAAAATTTATAGTGACATTTGGTTAAAACAAGTGCTACTCCATTCCTTAGAGTATCTTCTTCAAATTTAATGCATTTTTTCTATCTTCTCCTTTTTGTGATGTTTTTTGGTTCATACTCCTTCAATGAAGAAAGTTTCCTCCTCCTTGGATTAGGCAAACTAAATTTACTACCCGGATGCGATGTTTCTCTTTGCAAGCTATATATTCAATCATCCTACTACAGAAAATAAACAATAATTAATGACATACTTGATTAAAGATAATTCCTAAAAAATATGAGTACCACCAAATTTTTTAAAGGAACCATAAGTGTGAAAATAAATTTTAAACAAGATTTAAACCTATAAAATCAAGACACTCCTGAACACAAAAAGTACAAGCATAGTAGCAGCACCGTTTTGTTCCATTGAACTATTGTCTTTTATGTTTCAAAAGGAATAAACCATAAGAACAGAAAATATACAAAACACATTAAAGGTTACCTCGTGAATACAATAAATACTATTTGGTTACATCAAGCTAGGGTGATAAGCATCACTCTGATGGACAAAAGCTGTCTCATTAAGATTAGCCTCATTTGTATATGTACTTAGAAATATTATTCCATTTAATTTCTACATTGATGCAGCAAGCATGCGAGATTCATGTAATTTTCATTTTTTACCGTATTTAATTTTCATTAATTACTTCTTCTATTTTTTATTTGTAATCAAATTTATACCATTTGACCCCGCACCCCGCCAGGGGCTTCGCCCCTTGGAACCCCGTTTCAATTATTCGTATTCAATTATGCATTGGCTCGACGAGCGCGCACTCCGCACTTCCCTAACTCGTCTCCGAACTTAACGCATAATTGCATCGGCCTTTAGAAATCACATTACTACTAAAATACATTGGTGATACAAAATCGCCAACATCTACTATTATACAATTTATCATTAATCTAAATCTAAGATTTATCATTTTCACAAAATATAGTTGAAGACGAATTCACAGATTAAAAGATAAAAGTTTTATATGTTTCAGTAAAGTAATACACACAATCTTTGCAAAATTTAATGAATTCACTTAATAATTTGAGTATTTTATTCAAGAGTACCTAGTAAAGAAGACTATTTGTCGTGATGAATAACAAACAAAATTAAAAATGTATTTTTAGAAAAATGGAAAGGATGTCTTAGATCTCAATATTGACTCTAATGAGTGGTTACATAGAGGTAGAACGACTCTCATTTATAAAACGACGAACATTTAACATTTTAAAAATGTTAGGAAAAAAAAGGTAATATTAAACAAAAATTTTGAATTTTTTTCCACTT